TTATAAAAACTAGTGTATTTCGTTTTGAATAAATTTCTAAGTAGAAAGAAATTTCTTCCTTCTGTTATATTCTTGTGTCATAGCATCAATTTCTATAGAGGCACATGTATAAAAAGAAGCCATAAGTATACAATTTCTTTCTTTCTAATGTGTTCTGTTCTGTTAAGGTAAGAGAAAAAAGAAAATTCGTTTTTCTTCTTTCTTAACGATTTTTAATTTCATACAAAAAATGCGTTGGTTACTCGTCAGTCATGACGAAAATTCCATCTTAAAAAAATGCGGAGATATATTAGAAGTAGCAGGACAAATAGTTCTCTATAATTATCATCATGGTAAACCATCAATACAAGAAATAAAAGAAAAAATTAACAATGACAAACCTGATCGAATTATTATTATAATAAATGAAAAAAATTCTTCAAAACTTATTGATACAATCAATGATCATCTTCTAATTCCTCTCTATGTGGCACAAGCAACAACGACTTCTTATTCACCTATTCCTGTACTTTTATTAACATGCATATCAAATGATAATAATTTAAATATAATTCAAAATGCAACTGATCAATTAATTAATATTTATTCACATATTGTCAAGTATAATGAATTTATTATTATTTTTAAAATAGAATAATTTTTTATTTTTGTTTTCTAATATTTAGTGCAAAACTTCTAACACCTGTAAATGATGAAGATATTAACGAAAACTATTTTGAATCATTATGGACAACAAATCCTGAAGAACTTCATCATATAACAGTACTTTCTGATATTTTACCTATATTATTAGCATTAATACATGATGGTAAAGTAAATGGTCAAATAAATATTTGTAATAAAGGTACAATATCATTGAAATATTTTAAAACAATTTATTCAAATGAAATTAAACAAGAAAATATCTTACCTCAATCAGTTCCAATCGATGATATTACAGATAAATTTGAACAGTGGAATAAACAAATGATTTCACCTGAAACACGACAACTTTATCAAGCATCTTTTTTATTACCAAATGTATTAAAAAGTATTGAACAAATTTTACAACAACAAAAAATTCATATGAATCGAAATACATCAAAAATTTTACTTGTTACTGGTGGTTGTGGATTTATTGGAAGTACATTTATCAATCATTGGATTGAAACATATCCAAATGATAAAATTATTAATATTGATCGACTTGATCCTGTTGCTAATATGAAAAATATTTCAAATCCAAATTCACCTAATTATACATTTATTCTTGCAGATATTAATAATAAAGACATTGTCTTACATCTTTTTAATCAATACAATATTACACATATTGTTCATTTTGCAGGTAAATAAATAAATATTAAAACATTGAAAAAAATTTGTCTCATTTATCGGAATGGTACTAGATATTTACGCACTGGAGTCAAAATTTTTGACCCCAACTTTGAGAAGCTCCAAACCGGTTTATGTTTTACTCATTGTGTGCAAGAGTAGAAATACTTGATTTTGTTATTGATATAAATTCGCCGTTGACCACGAAAAACAATTCTTCACAATCACTGTAACTCAATCGCCGTTGAAGTTGGAGCTCTATGCAGAGTTTTACTACTTATTGAACAAGATGCACTAATTATATACTGAATTGGATCACCTTATTTCCGATTAGAGTTAGATAATACAACTGAGAAAGATGACCAAATGCTATCTCGATCTGAAAAAAAAAATGCTACTGGTTTGTTTCACTTCAGAACATGTGTTCTGCCATGGTATTCGAGAAGAAAACGTTTGATTCTTTCAAATATGCCATAAAATATTTTTCGTACCATCTCAACTTACTCTTGCAGGAAAAAACTTTTTTTGCAATTCCTCGATCAATACTTGAATAACTATTGAGCCATATCCATTTCTATCGTTATTACGAATTATATTTTCAACTATAATAAATGTGTTTTTTTTTCTCTTATTTATTTTAGTTCAAGCTCATCTTGATAGTTCATTTGGTAATAGCATCACATTTACAGAGTCAAATGTCTATGGAACTCATTCAGTACTTGAAGCAAGTCGAATTTATGGTAAAATTCAAAAATTTATTCATATTAGTACTGATGAAGTTTATGGTGAAACACCATCTGGTAGTAATCAAGAAATTTGTCTTCTCAATCCTCTTAATCCATATGCAGCAACAATAGCTGCAGCTGAATTTCTTGTTAAATCTTATGGTGAAAGTTTTAAATTACCATATTGTATTATTCGTTTATGTAATGTCTATGGACCAAGACAACATTTTGAAAAAGTTATTCCAACATTTATTAATACATTATTACATGGAGAAAAAATAAAAATTCATGGTGATGGTAAACAAATACGTCATTTTCTTTATGTTGATGATGTTATTCATGCTATTGAAATTATTTTAAATAAAGGAAAAACAAAAATGATTTATAATATTGGAACAAAAAATGAATTAAATGTTCTTGATATAGCAAAATATATTTTAGAAAAACTTCAATTAAATAAAAATCTTGATGATGTTATTATATATGTTAAACCACGATCATTTTCTGAAAAACGATATTGTACAACAATATGTGGATTAGTAAAATCTCTTGGTTGGAAAGAAGAAATATCATTTGATCAAGGATTAGAAAAAACTATTGAATGGCTTCAATTAAATCCTGATTATTGGACAAAATAGATTTCTATTTTTAAGACATTATTTTTTCAATGATTAATATCCATTCTTTTTAAATAAATTCTTAAAATATATCTTATAGAATGATTTTTAAAATCGTTGAAATTTCTTTTGTTATCACATATTTTTATAAAAAGCTTGAGTGTACACGATTCAAGAAGTGAAAGACTTTTCGAGTTACTATTATGAAAGACCTTTCGGAAAACATCTCGTTACGTTTTTCTTACTTAGAATGTTCAACAGCTAAGACAAAACAAAGTTATAACAAACATCATTTTGACGTTTCATACTCTGCATTTTTCCTTTTTCATGATTAATTTCTAAACCAAAACATTTTATACAAATTTGTAAAGTATTGAACAAAAAAATCAAGTCTCAATCACGAAAAATGACAATAATATTGATACAATGTTGAAAGATCAGTTCATTGTGGGACATCCATTAAATTATTAGTACGACTAATTATGATATGATGTTGTAGATATTTTAAACAAAAAAAAAGGGATTAGATAACAGCAAACAAATACTCATTTTGTTATCCCTTCAGTTCTCAGACGAAGTATCTCTACGTAAAACAAGCCAGTCACCAAGTATTACTTCGTATTTTACTCGTGATGACGTTGTGTAGTAATTCATATTATGCAATTACATTTCTTTTTTTGTCGTTCCTGTCGTTAAGAAAACTAAGTAAAGAAAAAATCTTTTTTTTTTTCGTTCAATGCTTCAGTTTTTGATTGTATCGTTAGTGACGAATGAATTTCTAATAAAACAAAATCAAAGCAACTAGTCATATAAAAGAACACTCTTTCTCCTATGATGACACAAATCAGCATTCAGAACTAATTGTGTATCACTAAACTATAAGATTATCATGATTTTGAAAATTTCTTAGCTAATCTTTTCAAAATTTTTCTTTAAATTTTCATAGTTTCTTTCTTGTAGATTTTGTATCAAAAACAAAAAATAATAATTAAAGTCTTTTAATTCAATTTTATCAGTTTTAATATCTCAAGAAGTATTTTCAAAAAAAAAAACATATGTATTTTGAATAAATATTGATTTTCATTAAAAAAGCTATTATAACTACGAGGAATTTCTTTTCTTAATTGTCGATTTGATTCGAGTCTGGCTTTGTTTCATCGTCGATCTTCATGTCATCAAAACATGAAACAAAAACACTATAAATAATCTTTGTTCTAATTGTTGGTTGACCCACGCCTTACAAATTTAACACGCGTTTTCGACATTGACTATGTTTTACACATATCGATGCCAATGGATACGACCAGAAGGCTCGATTCTCCAATCTTAATTCGCTGAGACGTGTATACAAATGTCAAAAGTAACGATTATCTTCCTTGTGTATTTATGCTGCAGACTCGAAAAAATTCCCTTAACATGTGTGCTGTATCAGATCGTGCATCATGTATAACAGATTCAGTTGTATAAAGAAAATTGAAATACATTTGATGAAATCGTTAACCTTTTGTACATAATTTTTTCATCACATCTCAGTGGCAATGATATTTTTATGCACGGAGAGGGCATAAATAACAATACTATAGAGAATTGAAATATTTCCTTTTCAGTTCATTCGAATGAATTGTTTTTCAGTGTCATCCATGAGCAAAACAAACTTCATGAATGATACCATGTTTATACACACAAAGCAATATTCGGTTTAAATTCTGAAATTCATGCCGCATAAATCAAACACACGATAGCGATCCGTTGCGCATGAAAACACCAACTTTCTTTCAAAAGCCAGTATTTCATGTTTCAAAAATCAAGACTTTGTAACCATTTATTGATTAATATAGTATCATTCATAAATTTCGTTTTGTTCTTCGATGACAACTGAAAATTATATATGAAAGTTACACGTATTTTTCTTAGTTGATAACAAGTAAGATTACTTTCGTGATACCAGCAATAATATTTAATATTAATATTTGCTTTCTTTACTCGTAAGAAAGAAAAAATGAATTTGATAAACTTTCACTACTAAATGAAAAATCAACCCATGTGATTGAATCGATGACGGGCAAATATTTTATGTTTTTCATCGTAGTACTATTGATTCTTTAGAATAGAAATCAATATTTAAATTTGTTCAAAACTTTTATTACTTCTATGTTTAAGAAAATCTTTGACTGATTGATATTAAATCTAGGATTATACAATAAACATGAATAAAAAAAGATAGTAAATTCATCTTATATATTTAATTTAATCAAAAATCAACTATCGTCGATAAAATAATCAAATATATAATTATTTATTCCACTGATGACATATTATAAATCTAAGAACAAAAAAAAAACAACTATGAACAACGAGTTCTTTTCTGTCTACATGTTGGTTTGTTAATATAAGCTATAAAATATTTTATAAATAATTGTCGATAATTATTAATAAATTTTGATGATTTTAAATTTGTATAACTTTTATGTTTAATAGATATATCTGTATTAATTCGAACAAAAGCAAGAAAATCTAAATGATTATCATTAGAATATTTTCTTCTTAATCTTGTATAACATGTATGTGATATTGATAGATAACCATGATTTGAATTTTCATAAAAAAGTCGATAAGAATCCCAATGACCAAAATCAATATCTGAACGTTTTGTTTCAAATAAACATTCTCGTTCATTTCGTTGAAACTTATTGAAAACGAAAAAAAAAAAATTTTATTTAATGATAATCTTTATTATTATTATTTTTTTTACTTACAAGACCAAATAATTGATTATCTCGACCACATAAATAACGTTTACTTTCTTTATGTTGGATTAGAAAAAGATTCACAGCAATTGGAAAAAATAAAAAAATACCTAAAAAGAAAAACTAATTAATATCGAATAATATGAGCATACTATTCTGTAGTAGCCGTTAATAATATAGAACAAGAAACTGCTATAGAACGAATCACAAACAACTGGCTAATTAATGATACAGTCATCAATGAAAATGCATTTCAATACAATATGCAGAGCAATGAAATACAGAGAAAAAAAATATTCTTGAACTTCGTCTATTGAAAATGATAATTCATTTGATAAAATATTCTATATTTACATTTCATCAAGACGTAAGTCACTTCATTTTTCCATAACGAAGATCGTACCTTCATAATATTACAAGAATTTTCTTTCGAATATGTAAAATTAATAACTATCTTTTTTTTATCAATGAACTAAATACTTGAATTTAATTATATTTTAACCATGAAATGTAAACAAGAATAAGTAAAAGAATAATGTTCTATAATAAATTACTCTTATTTAGGTGATGATAAGATAGAGTTTTACCCTCGGTAATCATTTAGCAAGTATATGACCTCATTATTGAAATCGATTAGCAGCACATTTTTATCGTAGGCAAACCATTAGTAGTATATTTTATCGAATTTATTGATAGAATTATTCTGTCATGACCTAAATCATTATCAATACGTACCATTGTTAGTTTCTTTTGAATCATATAGATTAGTAATATGTTTAGCATAAACATAACCATCAAATGAACGCATTTGTAATAGACATTGTGTTTTCGATACTATTTTATAAGTTGATACAAGTTTTTCTCGTTCATTAAATGTATCGCGTTCAGTACGTGATGTTAAATATTCAGTTTCCATTGAAGATATTGATATAATAAATGTTAAATAGATCATTAAAATGACGAATTTTTTATATAAAATATCGTCTAAATTAACCATTGTAATACAATATTTCGCATAAATTTACATTTAATATTATATATTCAGTGTTATATAGAAATAGGTCGATTAGTACCATGTAATTGTCAGTAAGTAAAAGGTTAAGTATAGTTCTTTCTCGTACACGACCAATATATTACATTAACATATAAGAAGAGAATAATGACGATCAATTCTATACATATTATAGAATAAGAGAAGAAAAAAAATTCATATTTTTGGTAGAGAGAAGCGAAAGAGAAAAAAACGATTTGTTTCTTATTCTGAGTACAAATGATTTAAATCATATAATATTTAATATTCATGCTAAAGAAACAAAAAGAAGAGTGTATATTAATCAGTTGTTTCATAATTTTGAACTTTTATAAGTTATTCGATAGAAATTGTTGAAAAGGAAATTTTCTGGTTTTTTTATTCAATGTTATTTCTAGATATAAACATACCTTTAAAGAGTGCTTAAAAGTTATTTATACATAATGAGAATGTTCAGGTAAAAATCGAAATTCTCTGAACTGGTTCTATCCAACAGATTTGTTGCATTACTATTAATTAATTAATGAGTACAGCTTTAAAAAACATTCATTTTCTTATTATAATTTAAATAACTGTCAGAAACAAATATCATGTTATCTATCTATAGCGCGGAACAAAAGGATTATTCATTCATCAACTGATTTCTTAACTTCAAATAATTCTTAAACCAATACTGTTTGATTATTTTTTATAAACGCAAGCAAATTTACTTGAAGAAATAGTACGAAAGAACGATGACATTTTCTCCAAAATATTTTCCAACTGGTAAAGACCGGCTCAGTTTATAACTCTGCTATCCCTATTCGAAAATGTCCGTTTTTTTTCGGACTCGCCATCCGTTCTTCTGAATGTTCAGCTTTCAGAAGTATTTTTTCTAAAGAGTCTATAGGTTCTAATAGATTGTTATTTTTTTTTGTGTTAAACGATTGATATAGATGGTTTATTCATAGATGATAATAAGAAGTTGTTCTGTTTGAAACGCTATTCAAAAACAATTTTAGTGTAAAGTTCAGCGAAAATTTCTTAGAAAACGTTGAAAGAATTGTAACAAGCATCCGGACCTCCAGATGTGCCTCATCTCTCCCTGCACAAAGATGTTCGATTTTAACTAATACCATCTCTTTTCTTGAACATCCTTTATCGATGATTCCCCCTATGACTCTATTAATTTATATTCTTGAATATCACAAACACTTTTTTTCTTTACAACCTGTTATAGTATCAATGAGATATATCATTCTTTTTGGTCTAATATAATGAAGTGTTTATTGTATTCTTTTACTACGCAAATCAATATTCTATCGTCTCTGGTATGGGTTTTTATGTTGGTATTGGTTTCCACATCCACATGCCCCCCATCCACACCCGCATAACAAAAATACGGCTTGGTCATGCATGTCCCCATAGTGTATAGTGGCAGGCAAAAGTTGAAAGCAGTTGGATTTTTGACTTTTCTTCGTAAAGTTAATAACTGGAAAGAATCTGAAAACATATTTGAGTATCTTGAAGAACTCTCTATAAAGATTGATAGGTTTAAAAAATTCACTGTAATTTATTCAAAGAAGGTGTGTGGAAAACTAAGCTCCCAAAAACCAGTTTTTCAGTTTCCATTATAACCGTCGTTCATCAAACTACATTCAATATATAGGAAGCCCAAGGAGCATTTTTCTATCTTTTTTCTTATTAAACATTTCAATGCTTTGCTATATTTATCACTTTATGACCTTCTCTAACTTGAATGCAGTTTGATGAATGAAGGCCATGAAAAGATCATAGTCATCTCGTTTTGCTTCATCAAATAAAATATTTTCACTCTAGTTTAGAATGAAAACCAGAAAATTGGTCTTGACAATCTTATTTTTCCAGACAACCTCATTGAAATAATTTTATTGAATTTTTCAAACCTATCAATCCACATAGCAAGTCCTTCTAGCTATTATCATCAAGAAAATATCAAAAATACAACTGCTCTAGATAATTCTCCGTCACTATATATCAAAATTAACAATGTCATCTAAAAAAAAGTAAACAAGAAATATCCTCTTATGCTCCTAAATGCTATTTAATAGTAGTTCTGACACTCGAATTAACTATTAGAAAAATATGAAGAGTTAATTTTAAGACAAGGATGATTTCATTAACTAATAAGCGGCCTCATTTATAGATGTTTTACCTTAGAAAATTTGTAAGCCGATTCGTCATTTAACTGTTTATCTATACACAATCTAAACGGAAATGTTCAGAAAAAAGTTGGGAACCATGAAGCCGTTTTCTTTTCATACAGACTAGGGTTAATGTTGTCTCAGACATGATGTGTATTCCATATATTCCTGAACTGCTGTGAAGAAAAACTATAACACTATACTACAGATAAAAAAAACTTGTTTTGTTGTACACCTTCTTCTCTTAGTACAATTAGTTATTTGGTCTTTGATACTTTACCACCACAAGAAATTTGCTAGCCAGTCCCTTTTTTTTGTTAACTTCTTAATATTAGATTCTTTTTTTTTTCAAATCTAAAACAATTATTTCATATAATACGAAAATAAATAAATATATAATTCTAAATTGATATTTTTTTTATATTATCAATCAAATATAAAGTACAATTTTCTCTTTATTAATACATTCATTCTATTGAAATTAATTTTATTTAAATAAGAAACATCATCTAATTCTATATGTATGAAGAAAATAGTCGTTGAAATATTTTGGAATTCTTTCTAATGTTTTTCTTATGTGCAAAAAACCACTTTGGAACAATTAATTCGTGTTGTATCTCTTCTAAAATTGTGAGTGACTTTTAACAATGACCAATATTCAGCAAAAAGCTGAACATTATGTGATAAAGACGATTTCGTATCAAGTAAAAATTGTTCAATATAATCTTCGTGAGCTTCAATAAGAACAAGTTTAATAAGATGAGGATATTCGATGATTGATAAATTTTGATTTTTATTCATTTGTGGTTTCTCATTAATTAAAGATAATTTTTTCATAAATGGAAATGATTGAGTAATACGAAGAAAAAATTCATGTTCAAAAGGATGTTCATCATATAATGATATTTCCGAGACATATTTAAATAATCCACCTTGAAAAAAATTTGTTATATTATTGTAATATTTCAAATTATATGGATATGTATAAATAAGACATTGACCTTTTTCTGCTTTTGAAAAATAATCAATAGAAGAAATTATTTGATAATTTTTAAAATCTCTAAATGTATTTTCAATATATTCATTTGATATTAAATCAATTTGATTATGAAGACAAATAATATTTGAGCAAATATTAAATGTAAATTTCTTTAATTTTGTCATATGATTAATAATATTTTTTTTCAAATCATTACCATCAATAAATGTTATTTTTCTACCAACAATAAGATGCAAATCAAGTGTTTCTAAATTTGACATTCGATGTAACAATGATATAATGGTTTCATCATAAACATATGTCTCTTTACTACAGTGCAATGAAAAGCATTTTAAGTTAGGTAGTTCATTCTAGAAAAGACAATAAAAAAACCAATAATATTGATTTATTTGAACCAGAGATGTTCATCGCGGCGCGATCGCTGCCGCTGTGGCGGTGGCGGCGCGGTAGCGGTTGTTTTTTTCAAATAACCATCGGGGTGCGGTGCGGCAGCGGTCGTTTTTTTAACTAACTATCGCGGCAGCGGCGCGGTAGCGGTAGGTTTTTTTGGAGAACAATGCAAAAATGCATGAATTCGAACAGAATTTCAATGTTCGCAAGTGCAAAACTATGAGATTCAACGAATCTTATCGATTGGTAACAAGAGCTCTAGTCCTGAACAGTCACAGATCGTAAAATTCACAACATTATTCTAACAATCATCGCGACAGCGGCGCGGTCGCGGCATGGTTATTTTTGGTGGCGTCGCGGTAGGTTTTCTGTTTTTATCACCGCGGTGCGGTAGCGGCGCGTTAGCTTTTTTCTTTTATCGTCGCGGCGCGGCAGCGGTCAGTTTTCAACCGCGATGTACATCTCTGATTTGAATACATAAAAAAAATATTTATCAAAATAATTTACTTTATTATACATTGATAATCGATTCGATAAGACAATATCATAAATATTAACATGAAATGTATGAAGTTGATTAAAATGTCCATCAAGTAAATAAAGACAATCAAGAAAACATCCCACATTGATATGTAATTCCAATAGCGTTGAAGAGAAAAAAGACAAACGAGAAATTTCCATTGATATTGTTTGATGTAAATTTAAAGATGGATTGAAATTTAAATATTGTAAATTAGTAAACATACAGAAGATATGTGTAAATATCGATTCAAGTATATCATTTCTTGTATTATATTTTTCACTACTTTTAGTAATATGAATAACCAACGATGAAATTTGATTTTTAAATATATTGATCAAAGATGTATTTTCTAAATAAAAATATAAACATAATGAAACAATCAATAATTCATATTTTAATGTCAATTACAAATAAGTATTCATTATAAAAAAACGAATCTACAAACATGTATTTAATTCTGTATAAAATTTATCTAAGAATTTGTTTTTGTGTTAATCGCTTTAACAATCAAAAAAACTACATACCAATAAAAAGATGTTTAGCATTTTCGATTTTAAGATCATATAAACCAAGTTCTTTCAAATTAGGATAACTACTAGAAAGAAGAATACATTCCATAGATGATGATTCGATATTAATACATTTGATTTTATCATGAATTTGAGGTAAAATCTTTGAACAAAACCGATCAAGTATCGAATTATTTAAAGAATAATATAAATCATCAGTTGAACGTTCGAATAATGTTAAACAACTGGTAAAAATAGAATCATTTACAATTTTATGTAATCGTTTATTAACATCCAATAAAGAATAAAGTATTTCCACATTACGTAGTTTGTTAAAAATGTTCATAAGAATTTTATCAGGTAATTCATCCAATTGAATACATGTACATTCCATCTTTATGTTTACTTAATTATTCTTTTTTTTAATCTATGAATGTGAATATTTTCCTATATATATATATGTCAGCGTTCAATCTCAGATTGGCCTAGGCAAATTTTCGATTCGAGAATGGACTAGTCGAATGTCGGATAAGGAAAGAAACTTTCTGTGGTCCTTAGGTAGATGTTATATTCCGTGTCTTCTTGATTGCGGACGAAAATCAAACCAATTAGCATGCCGACAGTGTGGGTGAGGGCTGAAATTTTGTCCGCAGTTAAGAAGTAGTCGTTATATTCAATGTCTTGTTAGTTAATTGTTTTGAAATAATGACACTTCAAATAAGACAATTGTCGATGCAAAAATTAAAGTAGGATTCGTAAAGTTAGGGATATTTTTCTATTGGTGCACAGCATTGATGAGAAATTATCCCTAACTTTACGAATCCTAATTTAATTTCTGCAACGACAATAGTTTTATCTGAAATATCATTGCTTCAAGACAGTTCATCAACAAGAATTCGATCACAACATCTATTTAAAGACTAGTTGAAGTTTTCGTAAAAACTTCTCTACCAATTTGACATTCGACTAGTCCATTCTTGGTTTCGAGATTGGACGCTGACATATGTATAGATAATCTATTATTCTCTTTGACCGATGTCGTCAATGAAAATAATGATGTTCACCAGCTCATGTATAGTCTGAATTGACAACACATGAAAAAAACCATGATGTTGTTTCCGTCTGTTTTTCTTGTCCAACTTATCTCATATGATGATCATTATTAGTTATATTGATTGCTACTTTTATTATGATAACAAAGCAATAATACTTTGAAAGACTAAGACAAAGTTTTGTTTGAAATTTTTCATAGCAATATAGATTTTTATAAACATATTAATTTTCATTTTTTTTTAAATGTTAGATCCCATTTGCAGAAGATGATTTTCCAAGAAGCTCATTTCTTTGATCATTGAATGGTCTATATGTCTTAATAAGAACATCAACTCGTAGCAATAGTTTATTGAATCAAGTGTTAGTGTTAGACACAAGTATCTTAGACAATACAATATGAACAATTTGCGGTACTTGTTCACTTTCGACATATGCTCTCACCCGCACTCTTTGATGTGTGAGCGTTAAATACGCCAATTAGTGTATGGAATATGTTTAAAGTGAACAAGCACCCAATTAAAAGTGAATTTTGAGTTTCATAAGAAAAACACTGTCTTTACTTTGTAATGCTCATATCTCAGCCATATTAGCGTTTTGGTAGTCGCAGAACCCATCATTCGAAAGCTTGATTTTTCAGCTTTCTCCAATAAAACTTTCATTGGAAAACGCTTTTAGATTGATGAGATATCATTCTGTTAAAAAATGTCTGCGAACTTTCAGTTTTGTCACTTTGAAAATCACCTTTAGATTAATCGATTCACGTGAAAATTTCTTTCTCAGCATACTCATAGGTTCACGAATTTTTTCTGAAAATTTCAGAGTTATAGAATGTAATAAACTGACAATACGATGATGTAATGATCTAGTTAGTGCAAACTTCACCGAGCACTTATACCTCAATGAATTCAATCGTTCTTTCTATCCACCATTATACACATTAGAAGCTATATTTATTACTGGAAAAATCTGTTATTAATCTTTCAACAGTAAAAAAAAAATATCATTTTTTTTTCGGCAATAAATCACGCCGAATAATCATACAGAAAAATACTGTGAGTTAGCATTACTTACTGTTTCAATGAATTGATAACAGACTTAGACAAAATCATCATTCGTAATCATTTACACATTATTATCACTATCGATTTGAACTTTCTGAAATACTACAGGTGTGGGTGAGGGTGTGAATGTTCCTTTCAGATTTCCTCTTGCATACGCCCACCCACACCCTAATGTGACTCTTTGAAGTACTCGAAAATATTCATTTTTCATATTTTTATTTTAGTATTTTGATAAAAAACAAACGATGAACTTACAGCTTGATAATTATTTCGACTATAACGGGCAACTGTACAATCGTTTTTTTATTGATACATATATCCATAACAAGATCGTTTTTTTTTCAGACTATTTGATCGAATCGAAGAATTAGTAAAAAAGTTAAGTAAGAGTATTACAAATATATTGCAACATCATTCATTTGCTCAAGTAATGAATCATCGTTAAGGTTATCAACAACATCAAACAGCTGCTAATGAAATAGAACAACAACGAACGTCAACATTTCTAATACAACAACATCGATCAATATATCAAATGACACGATCAGATGTTGATGTTTGGCTAGAAAACAATGTCAAAAAGTAAGTAACATATCTCTTTATTCAAAAACAACAGCCATTTTTTATTATTCTACTTTTCTAGATCTGCTGGTGATATTTTATACTCCAAAAGGATTGTAATAGAGTTTTTCAATGTTTTATTTAAAAGAAAAGATTTCTTTTTGTTTTTTGAATTTCATCACCATTTCAAAATGATATTATGACATATACTGTAGTTAAACAAAAATATTTATTGAACCATTCAATGCTATTTAGTAGAGTCAAGCATCAATTATTACTAATCTTATGAAAAATATATATTAGAATCTATTCATCAACATCAACTTCAATTGAACCTGATCAATTTATTTGTCATAAAACTGGCTGTAAGATATCATATGCGAGGATATTTCTTTTTGAATGAGAAGGAAAATAATCTTGTCACATGTTTTGAAAATCAATTCTTAGCTACAAAAAATACGACTCATAATGAATTTTCTAAACATAATCATTATTTCATATATTGATAATTCGCAAAACATGATCCTGCTGAATTTATACGCTCTTTTCTAAATTCTTTTGATCTTTATTATGTCTAACGTTTTCGGATAATCTCAAGAAAGTTAATTATATATTTAATTTGACTATTAAAAACTTTTTTGTAGAATTCACATATATTTTTTCGAAGAAAATAGCGTTTATTCTTTTATATATCACTGCATAGATATATCATCTTGTATATTAATATCAACTGAAAGACTTGAACAGAAAAAAGTAAACATTAAAAAAAATATATATGTATCGGACAATCAAATGGACATTAAAAACAAGTTAATTTGAATGTTTTTCATTAATTATGAATGGATGTTGAAGAAAAGTTTGTGTTTGAAAAAAATAATTAAATAATTGTTTATGATTTTGTAAAGTTTTTTGTATATCATCTAATGATGAATAACATTTAAATGTATAAATTTCATAAAGATATTTTAATAAATGATTCCATTGTTTTAAATCAGATGGATAAAATTGTTCAATATGATTGATAAGTAACTAAAGATTAAAAAACAAAAATTTTTATTGTTTTATTTCTTTCTAAAAAAAAATAAATATAATTATATATGAATTTTACTTCTATTTGTTTTCCAAATAATAAAATTGGATTTGATATATCAGGTAATGTAAAACGACAAACATTTGATAAACGTTTAAGAAATAAATTTTGTTGATTATTTAAATAATTTTTTATATCATTTTCATTATTTTCATTTTGAAAATAATTTAAAATATATTCACAATCAATAAATTCATTAATAAAACCAATTGGACGATCATGAAATTTTTTTGTTAAATATTCATAATGATATTGTAAATCTTTTAAATAATTAAAACGTTTTAAATTTGAAATATTTTTTTGTTGTAATAATGTACGTATATTTATAAATTTTTTTAATTCATTTTCATATTCATTTATTAATGAACGATCATATAAACATAATAAACATTGACATGATATTATACCATATTGTCGAAGTTGATTTGTACGTTCATTTATTGATGATATCCATAATGGACAATAAGATATAGTTAATTCATCATCTTGTCGAACATTTGATGAACATACATATATAAATAAATAATCACCAATTAAATACCATAAACAATTTGGTAAACAAGAATGATTAAACATTGAACTAGATGGATACCAACCATGAGTTGATTGAGATTTATATGGATTTTGTTGTTGAGTTTCGAATAGAATTCGCCAAGGAATATATGGTGATGGAGGTGGTAATTGTCTAGAAAATGTAATTAGGACTTTAAATGATACGAACAAAATATTTTAGTTTCACGATGAAATTTATTCAACCGGCTCAATCACTTTTCACTTGACGCTATGTACATTATATAGATCTAAATGAACTATGAATGTCCTAGAAAGAGTTTATACCATTAATGTATTGCTATCAGAATAATGGATATTCTTTAAATAAATGCCATGATCCAGCTTAGGAACATCAGAAAAATTGATTTTCAAATTAATACTTGAAACTTTGCTGATCGTTAAGTGCTGTCTCTATGCAAAATTTCTACAGCAATAAAGGGTACGAACTATTTTCAAGATATTCATAGAGCATCTGTATCTACATAATACATATAGTCTCAACTCAAAAGCGATTAAACAATTGGAGGACTCTTTTCATCAGATTTTTCTGATGAATAGATGACCTAAAGACTAAGAGCATGTAGATACAAGTTAAAACCTAGCTGACATATTGTCGGTCAGGTCCTAATGTCGACAATTTGAAGTGAAAAAATTAAAATTATGACTTTACTAGAAATTGTGTGTTGTGACAGAAGAATAATAGTAAAATGTCAACATATAATCTAACTAAGCTTTTTATAGTCTATGTGTCTAAAATTTAATCTCAAAATATATTTTATTATTTACCAAGATTTCCCGGTAAGAAGTCTTCAGTGATTTTTTTCTATCAGATTCGAAATCAATTAGCATACGTTTCTTTTTTTTTATCATTTCCATTCTGGTAGAAATCTATATATATTAAATTTGAATATGATAAAGTCTAATGACCTTCATAGAAATTAAATTAGTAATAACTGTCGTGTATTCCGACCAATTTTATACATACCTAATATGTTAGTAGATAATACATCGAAGGCAAAGGTTAGAATTGATCTGATATAGATAAAACAGATGCATAAAAGATAATCATACACATTC